CTCTTTGCTAACAGGCTACGTAGGCTTTTAAAGTAGCTCTAATAAAACCACTGCTCACAAAGCCTGCTCTAGATCCAGGTGTTCTAGCTATAGGCTTCTAACATATAAACTCTCCATGAGCAGCTCCATGTGACCTTACAGACCTCATGGTACCGTATCATCCTACCAGGTCTACACCTCACTACCCGCTGTGCGATGACATAAGTTGTAAACTGCTCTGTGTTCTCCAGAACCGGGTGAGGTTCTCCCTCCTGTCCTCACCTTGGCTCTGGACAGCTGCTCCACGTTGGCGGCCAGATCGTCGGCCTCCAGCCTGAACTCGATCTTTTCCTTCTCCAGCTTCTGCTTGGTTCTCTGCAGAGCGTCGATCTGCTCGCTGAGCTCCGCCACCGTGTCCGAGTGCTTCTTCCTCAGAGTGGCGGCCGTTGCCTCGTGGTGAAGCCCCGCCTCCTCCAGCTCCCGCCGCATCTTCAGGAAGTCCGCCTCTCGCTTTCTGTTTGATACGAGGGGAGGTCCAGGTAGACAGGCAGGTGTTAGTGAAGTCAGAAGATAAAACCTCCCCAACAGCTGGAAGCACCAACCTGAGCTAAACCTGATTCACGTCCTTCATGTGACGTTACCGACTGTGACTTCAGGTGTTTGAAGGACGTCTCAGGTTCATAGATGTGAAATGAAGCAGCAGTAGTCCACAAACTGATGAACACACTCATGGTGAATGCAGCAGTTACCCTTCATGGTTACTACGATCCATCCTGTACGAACCTGTTCAAGGCGATCTGAGCGGCTGAAGCTCCTCCAGCCTCCTCCAGCTTCTCCCCCAGCTCCTCCAGCTCTCTGGCGATGTCGTTCCTCTGGCGCTCGGCTTTGGACCTCCAGGCTCGCTCAGCCTCCAGCGCCTCCTCCAGCTCCTCGATACGAGTCTGAGGTGGAACCAAAGCCTGAAGCAGCAGCAGCAGCAGAGACTGAGACGAAGTTCAAACGTTCTGCTGAGGACCAACCTGAAGCTCCTTGATCTTCTTCTGAAGCTGAGCCACCAGATTCTGCTCGTCCTCCATTTTGGATTGAAGCTGACCGAACTCAAAGTCTTTTCTATGAAGAGGAGAGAGAACGAGACACGTTACAGTCGAGTGTTTAGTTCCTGAATCCTTCATCAGCTGAACAGTCTGACCCTCTGAACCCAAAACCTGGAGCAGGTTCATCGAGTTCAGAACATCTCCAAGATGACGCTGTTCATCAGCCAGAAACTGTAAAACAGAAACGCTTTATTCTACATGTTTCCTTTCAAGAAATCAACCTTCGCTTCACCAGACTCGGACCTCCAGCCGACTGTTGGTCACCGTGGACACACGGTGGACATGACGCTTCCACATTTTTCAGTATTTGTAAAATAACTAAAAAACACAACTTGGTCTCCATCGTTCTGAGTCCTGCTGACAGAAGACATCTCTGAGTTCTCTCTCCTCCTTCTTCAGGACTTTATGTATCAGAGAAACCACAGTGAAGGAGCATGTTTGATGAAGGTGAACAGAAGCTCTGACTGAGGTTCCTACTTCTTCAGTCGCTCCTCCAGCTCCTCCTTCTGGTTCTCCAGGTCCCTCACTGAGTCCATGGACAGCTTCAGATCTCCTTCCAGCTTCCGCTTGGTTCGTTCCAAATCAGTGCGGATCTTCTTCTCCTGCTCCAAGGAGGTCTCCACCTGCATAGGGAAGAAAACCAGGGTCACAGATCAACTCCACCTGAGATCAGTCAGAGTTTAGTGGGTTTGAGATGATTAAATCCAGATGTACAGCTGAGCAGAACTGTGTCGCACCATGAAAATGAATCTCCATTTTCTAAATCCAAGTTTACTGGTGGAGATCAAACCAGTTCTGGAGGTCTAACATGTCTTCATCGACATCGAGCAGGAAAAACGGCCTTAAAGAGGTTCTACAGAGGTTTAACAACACGAGTTCCTGCAGTGAAGAACCGTTCTTCTAGCAACAGCTCAGTCTAGTTGGTTGGTGCGGAGGAACGTTTCCTCCTCAACGCACTTCAGGTTTAGTTCATCGAATGTTTGTTGGATGTGTGCTTACGCTGTCGACCTGCTGCTCCAGCCGAGCCTTGGTCTTGTTCAGCATGTTGACTTTGTCCTCCTGAGCCTGGAGGTCCGTCAGCGCCTGCTGGTGAGCCTCCATCAGAGCAGCTTTCTCTCTGCTCAGCGCCGCGATGGACTCGTCCAGAACACACATCTCCTGTGACAGGTTCTTCACCTGGACAGGAAGAAACAAAGTTCTTACTCTGAGCATGGAGGAGCTTCTCAGCGATGCTCAGCAGGTCCTGAACTCACCTTGTTCTCTATTCCATGTCTGTCTTTCTCCACCTTAGCCAGCGTCATCTCCAGGTCGTCCACGTCTTTCTTCAGAGAGGAAACTTCGTCCTCCAGCTGCCGCTTCTTGGACGTCAGCGTGGCGCTCACCTCCTCCTCGTCCTCCAGACGCTCCTGCATCTCCTTCACCTTCGACTCCAGAGAGATTTTGGACTGAATCAGCTGGTTGCAGCGATCTTCTGCATCCGTCAGGTTGTCCTGCTCCTGGAGGTCAGGAGGAAACAACAGGATGTCACCAACAGACGGGTTTCTGTTTAATTATGAGGCTGGTTTGATGGAAAGAAAACTACACAGAAACGAACTGCTTTGAAACTCATGAACGGCTGTGGAGCGTCGTCAGAAGGTGGCGCTATCAGCTACGCTAGCTGTAACAGACCAAGGAGAAGAGGCTGAAGCTGAACCAGCCATTTGCTTGTCGCCAAAAACCTCGAAGAAGAGACAAACAATGGTGTGTACGTCTACAAGAGACAAATGGAGAAACATCTTCAGGAGCGTTTGGCTGATGTTAGCTGGTATCATGTTCAATGACGTCCAGAATCATCAGTCACATGACATAAATGTTTGCTTCTTATTCAGAAAAGTGTTTCCATCTCCTATGAAGAGCTTGAACAAGTCAAAAACCAAACCAGTCTTAAAGCTTTCATAGCAACAATTGAAGATTGTTTTTCTTACTTTTGTCATTTTTATGAACCTTTTCCAAAGCAATGCTTCAAAATGCACATAAAACCTTCAAAGCGTGACTCACTGCTTGGAGCTGCAGAGCCAGGTCGTTCTTCTCCTGAACCAGAACCACCTGACGCTCCTCGGCCTCCCGACGCTTCACCTCCGACCTGACGGAGGAGAAACACGACAGACCACCAGATGAGACCGGAGCTGATCTGGTCTGATGTCAGCAGAGGCAGCCAGACGCACCTGTCAAAGGCCTCTTTCAGTTTGGCGAAGTCTTCCTTCAGAGCAGCCAGCTCCTTCTCCACCTGGGCGCTCCTGAGCAGTGGGCGGAGCTTATAGAACAGCATCATCCACGGCCAGGTCCTCACTGAGAAGAACGCCCTGAGGTTGAACTGGATCACCATCACAGCGTCCCTGAGAGGAGGAAGTACGACACAAACAACCGAAACATTCACATGAACTTCTTTAGTTTTTAGCTGTGATCACGATGGAGCCGACACATTTACAGAGCAGGAGCACTGAAGGAGCATCACTGATAGGGATGGTAGTGATTAACGGTTGATCAATTCATCGCTGTTAATATGTGATTAACACATACTCTTCCTGTTTAACCCTGTAGAGACCAGAGGAGGCGTCTACAGACTACAGCTCATGGTGGCAGCAGAGAGCATTGTGGGACTTTAGCAGCAACAGGACCATGACAGAGACTCTGAGGAGGTTCAGGACCTCCAGGTTAGAGTTTGTGTGTTCAGTAGAAGTTGACTGAGACGCTGCTCTGATACCCTCCTGGAACAAGAGGTCAGTTATAAATGTCTATATGAGCACATAGAACAGTGTTTGTACTGTTGTCAGTTATTGAGTGGTTTCCCTGCAAACTATCAGTTTAGAAGCTTATTCAAGGTTTTCATCCCTAATCGTTGCTCAGTCAGACTCCTCTGAGGCTTCCTGCACTGAATTTCCATCCACGAATGTTTTTTAACTTTATATTTGCAGTCTCAGAACCTTTGAGACATTGATCCAACCATCTCTACTGAGATGTTCCTCCAATGTTCTCAAAGTGCTCAACATGTTATTCCATCAGATTGTTCCTGCGTCTCTAAACAGCCTCCTCAGATACCTCCAGAGTCCCCGGTAGAGTCACTCTGAGAGTCAGTCGTCTGCTATGTGTCCCTGATCCAACATGTTTGTTGTCTTTCGTCTTATCAGCATCAATAAATGTGATTTTTATGGTCAACTTGAATATGTGCATAAAACAGGCGGCTGTGAGCTACGAACAGACCCAAAGTAAATTCATCGTTGTCCCAAACTGTCCCTTCAGCAAAAACAACCATTAGCAGCATTAACATTCCTGGTTAGCATTAGCAGGTTATCTGGCTGGTTCCGGTTATCTCCAGATGTCACCACATTCATCAAGTTCATGGTCCAAAGAACTACGAAGGCAACAGGGAGGAGCTTCTGAAGTTCCTCCACCGTGCTTCATCAGTCTGCTGGTTGGTGTATTGACCTTTGCAGCATGACCTTCTGCCGCTCCATCCTCATCAGCTTCCCTCTGCACATGGCCTGGACCGTGGTGAGGATCTGAGACAGTCGGCTGTCCCTCATGTCCTCCAGCTGGCCAAGCAGACCAGCCTTGAAGAACACCTGAGGAGGAGGAGGATAGTCAAGTTCAGTCCTGAGAACAGACGTATCTAAAGCAGCGTTATGATGCTGCTCTACCTTCGTTTGTCCAAACTTGTACTGAGTGTGATCGATGTCCAGAGAGCCCAGCAGCTTCTCCACGGCCTTCCTGCTGTCCACGAACGAGTCCTCTGGGATCGCAGACGGATTCAGGATCCGATAGCTGAGAAAGAAATCAGATCCCTGAAGAGCAGCAGGACCAGAAACCAGAACGAGGATGTTTCTGGGTTTGGTCTGGGACTCACCGCTGTTTGAACTCAGCGTAGAGGATCCGGTTTGGAAAACCCTTCCTGCAGATCCTGATCCCCTCCAGGACCCCGTTACACCTCAGCTGGTGGAGAACCAGGAAGGGATCCATCACACCTGGAAGCAACCACAAGGACGTTTTCAGTCCTTCTATTGGATGTTCTGACCACCAGAACCACGTCTGGAGAACCTCTTTCAGGGCCATCTTTGGTGGAGACTGAAGTACAGACTAAAGGTCAACTCCCTACCAGAAAGTTCGAACTAAGGCTGTTGGTTGGATGAAGGTGAAACATCTCCAAGAACCGAAGAAGAAGTCCAGTTGTCTTCTACTTCTGCTGTCATGACCTGATTTAAACATCAGTGAGGAGCACTTCTGGTGGGCCTACCTGGATTCTTGGCTTCGTTGGGGATGATGCAGCGAACAAAGTGAGGCTGAGTACTGCGGAGGTTGGCCATCAGTTTGTTGAGATTCTCCTGTAATCAGACAGAAACAAGGCGAGACCTTCTAGAAGCTGCACAATCAAAGTGTCTCAAGTGAGTATGACCTCCTGTAGAGGGCAGCACTGAGTCAAACAGCAGGTAGTTTACTCTGAGGAGCCACAACGACCGGCTGGATCATTCTGTGTCTTCTGGTTCAATCTGCTAAAGTTCCTCCAGAACCTCCTCAGAACATCTGGTTCTGTATCTGCAGCACCTGTATCTACTGACCAGAGTTCTACCTTCAGACTGTGAATGTTCCAGAGGTCCAGGTCCTTGAAGTCCACAGAGGAGGGTCCAGATTGATCACTTTAATGGACTTTTTCCATCATTTCTGAGCCTCAGAACTTCATCAGTACAGCAGATAGACACATGACATTTAGGAGGAAGAACACATCTGTGTTCTGCTAGAACCTGACACCAGATCAGTTCTACATCCATCCAGGTGTCTCCCTCTGAGCTCATTAATGCATCTTCTGGCTGTGAAACTGTACAAATGTGGAGTCGTGTTGGACAGTTGTTTGGTCCAGAAACGCATTCAGGACCAAACATTCTTCTTCGTGGTTCATGTTGTCCTTCGATGTGTTCTGCGTTTGGTGCTTAAAGAAGGTCTGAGTCGTGAGTTTGAATCACGTTGAACAGGTCTGGAGGTCATCGTGACACATTTTAGGCCATTTTTCTGTGATTCTAGGTCTTTTTTTGTCATTCTGAACAAGTTTCTGTTGGATGAAGAGTGAGCACAACGTGTCTATCACCACCTTTAAACATCAGCATCATGGAGACGTCACAGCACCACCAGAACCACATCCAGGGTACCACTGATTGTTTCTATGACTCTGTGTCATAGACATTAAACTGGTACCACTATGATCCATCCCATAATACTGATGCTACCAGCTGCTGACAGAGGACATGAACAGAACCAGGTCCAGTGTTCAGACTGAGACACCTGGATGGATGTAGAACTGACTCACTCACCTTGTGCAGCTGTGAGACCGTCTGGAAAGAAGCTGCTTTCCTCTTCCTGTGTTTGGTTTCAGCCTTCGGATCGCCCGCTGACACAGAACCAGAACAGAACACACGGTCAGCACTCTCATCTCCATGTGTGCGGCCTGTTAATTGAACACTCGGTGGTGTAGTCACCCGTCTCTGAGCTGATGTAGTTCTCAAACAGCCCGGCCATCAGCTTGTTGGAGGACTTCTGGAACAGAACCACCACCGTCTCATTCAGAGGATCTCGGTTCTTGTCCAGCCAGCCGGTGATGTTGTACGGAACCTGCAGCAGCCAACAGCATCCCATTCACTACCAGATACAGGAACCGTGACTGAACTTTAATGAACCAGCACACATCTCAGTAATGATGAGATGTTCCTCAGGACTCCTGCCTTCAGGACATCAGCTACGACCATGAACGATAACAAATATCTCATTGTGTTTATGGCCCTGACATGATAGCTGACATCAGTTCAATAGTTCATAATCACTGACTGGAGCAGCAACATCTTCCTCCAGATAAACTAAAACAAAAAACTCAGAACCTTAAATATGACCTGAAAACATCACGAGAACATTTACAGACATTGGTCCTACTTGTAGCTTTAAGGAAACCTGCCTGAATTCAGCCTCTGTTTCCAGTTTGTGTTTATTGTGATATTCAGCTTCCAGGCTGTGATGTTTCTGTTGTGGCCTCCAAGTCAGACTGACTCTGGTCCACATGTAGACTTCATATAAACGTGGACTTACAAAGCCAAAAACATGTATATTGTATAGAAGTCTCTGAGAAAACAATCTGACTTCTTATTGATCTGTTGCCTCAGGAACCATGATCCTAAAGAGTTTATGGTCTCAGTCTGTAGCTTCGAGACTCCTTCAGGAGTTAGTAGATGACCAGGCAGGATGGGCTCCTGGCTACCTTCTAAATGAAGAGCTGCTTCCATTTGGGTTCGTCCTTGTTCTCCATCAGAGCCCGGTTCATAAAGAATTCTAGTCTGCACTACTTATACACAGTCCAGAACATGTCCCAGCTCCTCCTGGAGGATCCTGAGCTGTTCTGGTCCTGGTGTCACCTACCAGCTGGAAGTTCCTGGAAAACCTCCAATAGAATCAACCAGGAAGATCCAGACCAGACGGGCTCTGAGCTCCTCTCCTGGTTCCTACAGGGATCTCAGACACTACAAAGGAAACTCAGCTGCTTGTGTTCACGACCTCTAAACTCTAAACTCAGGGAGCACATAGCTCGAGTGCTAACTGAAAGGTTCTGCATCTGGCTCCCGGTCTGGTGACACCTTCACTAGCACTGAGGTTAACTGTGGTGGATCAGTTTACATCAGTTTACCTGCTGACTAGTTCTCGTGACGGAGCCAGACATCTGATGGTCTGCGTCAGTCTTTCCATTTCAAAGTGACTCCAGCAGTTGAGGAGCAGCTGAAACTCACCACTCCAGCGTAGTGCACCACCTCGAAGTGAGTCTCGTATTTGCGTTTCTTGTCGGGTCGCGGTCGCTGGAAATTGGGCGACTTCCCCAGATGGTTGTCGTAGAGTTTGGTCTTAAAGCTGTGGTCCGTGGCCTTGGGGAACATACACTCCTCCTCCATGATGGACAGGATACCCATCGGCTGGACGCACAGACACTCATTACTCTGTTGTCCATTCATGGACGAAACCATTCAGACATTTCATCGTCCATGTGCCGCACGCAAACACACCTTCTCTATGAGGTCTATGCAGGCCTGCAGGTCCAGACCGAAGTCGATGAAGGTCCACTCGATGCCCTCAGTCTTGTACTCCTCCTGCTCCAGGATGAACATGTGGTGGTTGAAATACTGCTGCAGCTTCTCGTTGGTGAAGTTGATGCACAACTGCTCAAAGTTGTTGAACTGCAGAGAGAGACAAAAGATGTTTTTATGGCTGTGTAGCTAAGATTTAAGAACTCATGGGGTAATAATTCTGAGTGACCACACCACCCAGCAGGAGCTTTTTAAAGCCCTTTTGAAAATCTTGCACAATTTTCAGTTAATTTTTTATAAATTATCAGTAAAAGAAAAGATCTTAAACATCTTCTTTAAACCAGACTGCCTTTGAAAAGCAAAATTAACTCAAGCTCGTGTTCATTCCTTCAAAACTAACAAAGAACATAAATAATCTAACTCCCAGCATCATGTCAACAATAAGCTAATAGCTAAATGCTAACTCCCAGCATCATGTCAACAATAAGCTAATAGCTAAACGCTAACTCCCAGCATCATGTCAACAATAAGCTAATAGCTAAATGCTAACTCCCAGCATCATGTCAACAATAAGCTAATAGCTAAACGCTAACTCCCAGCATCATGTCAACAATAAGCTAATAGCGACTTGTGTTTATTCCTGAAAATGTACTAACTGCTAACCAAACATTATTCCCTCACTGTCATGAGAATGCAGCCCCACATCATGATGCTGCTTCACTGTCAGGACCATGCATCCACTGTGGTGGTCCTGGTCAGGTTCACACCAAACATCTGGACTCCATGTGAGCCCAACACATTGATCTTCAATCTCCTTTGTTGCATTGACTTTCTACTTTGTCTCCTGAATTTTCCATGTAGTCTTTCTAACGTATTTGTTTTTGATCATTAATAAGAGAAAATATTCTTCTGTTCAGTTTAGAAATAATGCAGCTATTGAGAGAAGACGCAGTTCTGAATCCTTTCATTATGTTCTGAGTACATATTTGGCATCTTTCCTGGTTCTTGTCTGGGTTTGAGGGTTGACGTGTTTGTCTTTACCTCAAAGATCTCGAAACCGGCGATGTCGAGGACTCCGATGAAGTACTGCCGAGGCAGCGCCGTGTACAAGGACAGGTTGATGCGACTCACCAGCCACTTGAACATTCGATCGTAAGTCGCTTTGGCCAGCGCTGCCACCGCATAGTTCACCTGCACAGACGGGATGAAGTGTTAAGCCTGTCAGTACTGTCAGCATGGTGTCGTGGTGCTGACTGCTGACTGGTTACCTGCTCCACAGTCTGTCCTTTAACTATGAACTCGTTTCCAACTTTGACTCGGGGGTTCAGGAGGCCTTTCAGCAGGTCTGCAGAGCTGATGCCCATCAGGTACGCGGCCTTGTCCACACCTGAACACACACACAGGTTCACAGGTTTATTGGACGGTGACGAGTCCAAGACAAACCTGACACCAAATGTCAGATGTAGACCTTCGTGTGGGTTGAACAGTATCTTCCTGAAACCACAGGGACCAGGAACCACCAAGGTCCACAAACTTGTATGAAAACTGCTCAACTGATGCACGAACCAGGAAAGTTTTCATGAGAATAAACTAAACAACAGGTAACAGTCCAGAACCCTAAACCAAGTCCAAAACTAGTCCAACATCAAGTTATAATCTAGTTCCAAACTCTCCAGAACCAAGTTCAGAACCAAGTTCAAACCCAGTCCAACACCAGACCCCAAACCAAGTCCAGAGCTGTACACTTAAACCGGATCTGTCAAAGAGGCCACAACATTCATTTACAGAACTTTAACCAACATTAACTAGAACGTGACATAAAGTTCTGTCCATAACAGTCATGACCTGGAGACCAACTAGAGACCAGAACTGGTTCTGCAATAACGTTTTATCATTTGGGTCCTTTCGGACCTTCAGGTGAACATCTGGTTAATTTTTGGACTTCATCGGCCTTGTTTTTCTGAGGTTGGTGCTCTCTTCTGTCATGTTCTATCAGGAACATGTAAGAACCTCGTGGAGGAACTTTAGAAACGTTTTATTAATGCATCAGTGAGCAGCTTTCATTTCATCCCATCTTATGTTCTGTCGGTTCTGCTCTGTATGCAGTCAGTCTGTCATGAGTCTCCTGGTAGCGCTTCATCTGCTGCTCGACGACCTCGACTCAGAGCCACAGAGTCAAAGCTGAGTTTAAAAGAGTTAAAACAGAGTCTAGAAGAGTTAAAACAGAGTCAAAGCTGAGTTTAAAAGAGTTAAAACAGAGTCTAGAAGAGTTAAAACAGAGTTAAAGCTGAGTTTAAAAGAGTTAAAACAGAGTTAAAGCTGAGTTTAAAAGAGTTAAAACAGAGTTAAAGCTGAGTTTAACGGTGTGTAGACGAGTCGTACTCTCGGTGCCGTCGGCCTCGGCCTGCTCTTCTCTTTGCTTCTTCTTGAACTTCATGTTGCCGAAGTGCATGATGGCGCCGACGATCTTGTAGCAGCCGTACTTCTCCTCTGGCGTGAAGCCCAGCGTGTCCATGGCGTGCTGCACAGAACACACGTGTTAGCGTTGACACGCTAGCAGACAGCAGGCGGCGCTGTTCAGGACGGCTCTTACGTCGGTGAGCTTCAGCTCGTCTCCGTCGCTGATTCCCTCCACGGTGGTTTCACCCTGAGAGCAGAAGTGGTAGTCGTAGGGGTTGGTGGTGACCAGCAGCATGTCTGCAACACACAGGGTCAGTGATTACTGATTATTGATTAGTGATCATCTGGTCATCTGGTCCAGGCTGCTGTGATAAAAATGTTCAAGAAAAATGGAACCAATAAAAACACATTAATCAATGATCACATAAACAAACACAACAGTGAACCAATCAGCATGATGACCTCTGCAGCGCCCCCTGGTGGCAACACTGGTGTCTACAGTTTAAGTCCAAACCTGGTGGGATTGTGGCCACAGCGCCACCAGGCTGCAGAGGCCCGACATTACAGTTGACCTGTGAATGAAGTTTCACTTTAGTGTTTTAGTTTGTTTACCTCGTAAACAGACAGACGACCAGTTTGCTCCTGGCTTGTGATTGGACAGAATCTAGAGGTGGGCGTGGTTACCTTGCAGCTCTGACTTGTGATTGGACAGATTCTAGAGGTGGGCGTGGTTACCTTGCAGCTCTGGCTTGTGATTGGACAGATTCTAGAGGTGGGCGTGGTTACCTTGCAGCTCTGGCTTGTGATTGGACATGATCTGGTAGTAGATGTGGTAGCTCCTCTCTCCAGGCTGCTGGAAGACAACTCTGGACTTTTCTAGAAGATCTGATGAAGAACAAACACGTTTATGAGCAAACGGCTGAAGGTTTCCGTCCGACCTTTGAGCAGCAACACATCCATCAGATCTACTGTAAACTGAACACAATCAGCTGCAGAAGCAGGACGCTGCTCACAGATGTCGATGTCGGCCGACGCCAGCTTCCCCGTCGGCCCGAAATGAATCCTGATGAACTTTCCCTGAAACACACAAACACGTCTTTATTGATCAACCTTCCTTCTCCTCGACCGTCACACGAGCTTTATCTGAACTCACGAAGCGAGACGAGTTGTCGTTGCGGATGGTTTTTGCGTTTCCGAAAGCCTCCATGGCCGGATTGGCTTCGATGATCTGATCCTCCAACGAGCCCTGAGAGCAAAGAGGAGCCGGAGCTCAACGGAAAGCCAAAGATTCACCGACAACACCTCACAGCAGAAATAAAGCTGCAAGACTTACTCCTTTCTTCATGTTCTCTCCCAGAGCAGCCACGATGGCGAAGTACTGGATCACCCGCTTGGTGTTGACGGTTTTTCCGGCTCCGGATTCGCCGCTGATCAGAAATAAATCAGACAGAAAGATTCAATCAGTACGAGAGTGAAGCTTCTGGAAGCAGAAGTTTCCTGGAGTGGCCGTTGGCTTCGCGACGCCTCAGAGGACGCTCGAGTCAAACGCTCTCACGCTCAGCTGCTAATCAGCCATGATGACTCATACATGACATAAATATGAAGAACAAAGGCGTCAGGTTGTCTCTGAATTCAGCTGATTAAATGATGAAGCAGGTGAGAAGCAGCCGTTCAGAGTCCTGACGTCTGAGCTCAGGTGTCATCACTCACAGTGGTGGAGATCAGCTGGTCATCAGAACGTTCTGCTCGTTTGTGTTGGTGAGAACATTAAACACCTGAAGATGCTCACTGGAGTGTTCGTCTGAGTGTTAGCAGCTAAACCGTTGATCAGAAACACCAACAGCGTGAGCGAGACGTCTCCGTCGGTCTAATCAGCTGTTTCACTGAATCGTCTGTGAGCTCTACTGACTGCAACACACCTGGTTCTTCCTTCTCACACTCATATTTCTGATGTGACTCACGTGATGAGCATCGACTGGTTCTCCCGATCTGTGGACGAAGACAAAGTCTGGTGAGTATTCGAGGAGCAAATCAGGTAGAAGAAGCTGTCGGTTGGTTCTGAACCTCTGACTGCTGTGACTTTATGGTTTGAATTCTCTGGTTCTGCTGGTGAACGATGAACGACACTAAAACGGACCTCAGCTCTACTGAAGCTGCTCTGGACACCGACTGAGGCGCTGTGAGTCAACACTGCCACCATCAGGTCAAACTCAGAACTACACTCTGTGGTTTTCATTCAGCCAAACTGTCCATTACACGTCACTGCAGATATGAGAGGTCTGTTGGTTTTGTGAAGCGTCTACACAAAGAAAAACAGAAATCCAAATGAGAAAAAATGATTTTTAAATATGTGTCAACTTGAAATGTAGTTTAATTATAACTCCACATTTTAAAAGTCCTTTTAAATAATGTAGAAGAACGAGTTGAACTGAACATCTCGTGTTTATCCCAAATATGATGCTTTACAAACAGCTCGGTGCTCGTCCAGCTCACTCGGTGGCTGAACATCACTCTGATTAGAACGGTTTCTGATCTGCAATCACTGATGGAAACTGTTGTGTAATGTTCCTCATGAGCCAAATCTTTATTTTTTTTTCGTAGTGTGACATGAAGCTACCGTGGTGAGCAACGGCTAATGGACTAGCCTGCTATTAGCATCAGCTGATGTTTCTGAACAACAGATAAAACCTACAGATGTCATGCTGAGTGTGACCTGACGGTGGCAGCGTTGTCTCTGTTCTCATGCATCAGTCACCGGAGCATCAGGTTTAGTGCAGAACATCGTTTCCTTTGATATCAGGTTGTGCTGAATCACGTTTCTGACTTCCTGTGTGTTCATGAAGTCGTCACTCAGTGTGTGCAACATGTTGACTGGTTGCCGAGTTGCAGCAACTTCCTGTTTAAGGTCTCATTGGACCAAAGTGTTGTGAATGTTTTGCAGGAGTCTGTCAGGAGCGAAAGGCCGACTCACTCTGCAGCAGGTCGCTGTAGGCGTTGTCAGCGATGGCGTAGATGTGAGGCGGCGTATCGGCACGGCGCCGCCCTTTGTAGGCCGAGACCACCTGAGGAGAGTAGACCGGCAGCCATTTGTACGGGTTCACGGTCACGCAGAACAAACCGGAGTAGGTCTGAAGCAGAAAGGAGCAGTTAGACACGAGGAAACCCTCAGAGTCACGAAGGAAGAGCAGGTGGGCGGAGACTGACGTAGATCATCCACATGCTGTATCTCCTCCTCAGGTTGAAGAGGACGGACGCCTCGTTCAGGTGCGTCAGCATGGCCATGTCCTCCATCATGTCGAACTTTGGAGGGTTCATCGGCTGCAGGTCGTCTTCTTTGACGATCAGAAACTGAAACAACCAACGTGTGACGTGAAGGCGCAGCATAACCTCACATATCAGCATCATCAGAGCCTGTGCAGTCAGAACAGAGAGTCAGGAAACAGGACGTCCTCCAACAGCTGGTTCAAGATCTGAACTCTTAGTGTTTCTCTGGTTAAATCTCTTTGAGGCCGTAACGTCCCTGCAGCTACGTCACTGAGCTTTGCTTTAAATCAGAGCTCCAGGTCAACACATATCAAGTCTGTGGAGGTTCCTGTAGGACGGATGACAGGGTTTAAATACGACCGGCGACTAGATGAACGTCCTAGCAGAGCAAGACTAGCTAGCTGCTAACTCACCCGCCCATCCTTGGTCTCCACAGTGGTCTTGTCTCCGTTCAGCTCTCTGACCTCCACCTCGGTGTACGCTTCCACCTCGTCCGGCATCCAGACTCGCTTCGTCCCTGCAACGACCAGACGACAGCATTGATTCAGCGCTGCGTGCTCAGAGGACCTGGCGACACGCTGAGCAGGTGTACGAGGGTACCGTCGAAGGCCTGGGCTTTGGCCGCCAGCTGCTCCAGGTTGGTGAGCCGAAGGTAGCGAGCAGCTTCTCCGAACTCCGTCATGTCCAGAAACCGAGACATCTGAAGACACAGAGACCAGATCTGAAGGTTGGGCCTGCAGAGTTTACCGTTCCTCTGACAGGAAGACAGGTTCCAGCCGGGTTCTTTAAAACGCTGTTAACAGAATCCTGACCAAGAACATGTGAACTGTTTGTCTCTGAGTGGTTCTGCTGCTGTCAGGCTCATGTTCACTGCAGGATCAGGTCCTCCATGACGGAACCAGAACAACTACAACAAGAAGTAAGGTTAGGAAAAGGTAAAAACCAGGAGCCGACATGTTAACCACTGGAAACATGTTTGGTTTTACAGGTCTGCTGCTGTCTGAGTCTAAACTCTCTGTTTGGTGTCGGTTGTGTTGATGGAGCCACAGGTTCTGCACACGGTGCGTTCAAAGACTGTCTGACAGCCTCAGAGCAGCAGCCATCAGGACCAAGTTCAGGTTCAGGCTCTGGCTGGAGGACACCTCGTCTGTGGAGGGAATCGGACCGCCGACCTTAGAGGGCGACCCGCTGCACCACCTGGACCACAGACGCCTACTTTCACAGTTTAGGTTCTGATAAATTTGATGATTTTTTTCTGAGCTCGTGTTTCTTTTAAACCTGCTGGAGGGTTTGAATCAGAACCAGAGTCGTCCTCCGAACCTGAGAATCTCGTGTTCTGATTGGGTTCATGAAGTCAGAGCTGATAATAGAAATAAGAACAGAACCATAAAAGAAAGAACCTACTTTCCCTGAAGTTCTTTGGCTGCCATCTAAAAGAACCCATGTTTGATGGTTCTCTGATTCACATTTGGAGGTTCTTGAAAGAATGTTTGGTTCCTTATGAAGCTCTTTGGGCTGCGATGTGGTGCCAAAAGAAAACATTGTGGTCGGATCTTTGAGGCCCGTCTTGGGGTGTTGACTAGAACTTCCTGCTGAACGTGGTCCTTCTGGTTCCAGGACAGCCTGGTCCTGTGTGGGTCCTGCAGCCCATCACTCATGTCTGCTGCTCTGTGGATCTATATTTAGCAGCGGCTTAAACCGAAGCGAGCAGCTGATGTTCCAGCAGCTGCCACATCAGCTCCACTGATCCTGCTGCAACGCTCGGCCTCTCGCTCAGCGCCCAGATGATGCTGCCGGTAAATATAACCGGCAGCTGGGAAGATCAAGAATGTTTGAAAAAGCAGTTGATGGAGGAGCTGTGAGCCTCCGTCAGACACCAACAGCAAACAAAGGTCACCACAGGTCATTCAGTTACAGTCTGAACATGATCCTTCATCGATTCTTACAAAATAAAAGCACAATAATGGTGAATTTCCTTTTCTGCGTTTGTGGCTGGAGAACTCAAAGCTCCAGTTCGACCACCAGACTGAGCTCCTGAGCTGTGGACGTGTGTGGTTTTACCAGACGTATGAATTCAAAGTGTGGCTTCTGGAGGAGCGCTGCTTATAAAACAAGATGAATCCAGAAGTTTGAATCTGTTCAGCTGCTCCGTGAATACAAAACAACCATCATGAGATGTTCCTACATTACGGCTGAGGCTCTTGGATGACACAGTTTTACCAAAGACCAGCAAACCAAGGTCTAATCTGGTCTTGGTTCCCCCACAGAGGAGCACAGCTCAGGACAGAACAGCAGCTCCAGGAGCAGCTGGATGGACCAGACAGGGAGCTTCTCATCAGATGTTTAGACGTCTTCAACCTACTGAACTTCAAAAGCCATCGACAGGTTTAAAAGACGTTATGAAAAAAAAAAGAAAATAAAAACAAAAACGACTCAGAAACTGTCAAAACGGAACCATGTAATCTGATTACATGTGACTCTGACCAGAATCACTTTATTCTATTAATTCTGTCGCACCAAGAAAACTCAGAACATTCAGAACCTCTTG